GCAAGAGGTGGAGAGAGTTGAGTGACAAGGCATCGTGGTAAACCCGTGGCCCCTGACGATTTAGAATAACAATGATGGCTTGGATAAAGACTTCGACGTTACTGCCACTTAAGAAGCATTCAAACCTTTTAAAATGCATTGAGAGGTATGAACTCAGTGGAATGGAAGATGCTTTTCAACACTGTGTCATTCGTCATTTTACATGACAATCACCTGCATCTTCGCCAAGGTTGATACTAGGCCTAGGAGGAAGCTCTAATGTGGTTGATGTATGCTGAAAGTTAGACAATGTTTTTCACACCGCATAACTCTTCCATTATCACTCACGCACGCCTTCACTTATCGGATAATGACCCTTCACTTATCGGATTCACGCCTGGCTGCACATACTGCTGTGTAGGCATGTGTGTATGGTGCGTTGCACACAAGACAGTATTCTTACGTAAACGTGAGTACGTGATATGTTTAGTGTAAATTATTTTTATAAATATATATAGGTAGCGCGTGCACTTCTTTATCTGATCGGTTTTAGTTTCATACCTGACTAAGAACATAGGCTGAGGATATACCTGAGAAACCTTAAGCGGAACACAGCTCTCTGTTCTCAACAGCCACGCTGATTGCTCGTACATCAAAATACAAAAGTGATTTCTTGCTCATATCAACATTGAGGCATTGCTCATCTCCCACGCTCCCCTTAAGCCTGGAGTGGATATTACACATTCCTATGGCAGAGGCGAGTCTCCCCATAGGACAACCACGGTTGACTTTAACGCGAAGTGGTATGGATTTTACTGACCAAGGAAAGTTGATGGGTTGAGTAAACCCCCAAACAGGATTTGAATTCTCAACCTACTGATTGAGCCACCTGGTCAGCATCTGAATGACTGCTCTCACAAACTTTGGCTGAGAATTTAGCGATGTAAAGTGCTTTGTGAATTCAATGATAGGTGCTGTATAAAAATGCTTAATTATTACTGTTTGTATTGGCGGCACAAGAAGTTACCACAATGTCTGACAATAATACAATAAACCATAGGTGGTAATCATGGAATTTATTCCAATTCTAATTGTCCCATTACCCATAGAATTAACGTTCAGTGTGTTAAGGCGTTCACAATTGCACACTTCAATAATGCAGGGCAGTCAATTCATGGCAAAGGCAAGGAGCAGAAATCAGGAAGCACAGAAGTACAATAACAACAATGCATTGTACTACACTGCTCTCTTCTGCCCACATCATAGCACTACAGCCGACAACACCTACTATGGCATGGTGGTCACCCATCAAAGCACTATCCAGGCTCAACTAATGCTTAGCCTCTGAGGTCTGATAAAGATGGGGTGCACTCAATAGTGATCTTGTTAAAGGCCACATCGCGAAACGTTTTCGATCACATGAGTGCAAAGGTGTTATCTTTGGACACGTTTAATTCGATTTAAGGTGAAAAACTCGAAGCATCTTTTAAAAGCTTACTGACGGGTATTTGTTTTGCACCCGTGTGACATTTGGAGGTGACCAACGGCCACTTAATTTGTGACTGCGGGCGCTGTTTGTGTAATCCAAGGGGTCGCGCGTGCACTTAACGGAAGGAGGGGTTCGGGATTGCTCTCAACGTGCCTTTTACCTCCATGAGTTGAGAGAGTTTGCCTTCTTCGCTGACACGGTGACACCACGGTTACATTGCTTTGATAGCTTTATTTTGGTGATTTCGAAAACGTTTTTGGTTTCGCCATATTTGTTGGTTGTAGTACAGAATTAGACTGATAACTTTAATCTAAATTGTCTTATTGTTTGACTTGCATCCCACTGGGATTTTTGCACACAGCATTTGATATGCGGTGCTTTTTCTGGAAGACTTTGCTGTTTTTTCCTGGATTTTTCTGTTTGCGCGTAGTCACTTTAAGATGTTTTCTTGTTCATGTTTTTGTTTGTTGCGGTTGCACCCGATTCAAGAGCCGAATGGCTCACAGGGCTATACGAAATAAATGAAGCTGGAACGGTGCAAGAACCCCCAACGTTCTATTTTGCTCAACAGCTGGGTGAAAAAAAAAATGGTTTGCAAGACCGGGCGCGGCATTCTTGCCACGCCGCATGCATTACCTGCACCAATTGCGGCGCCCAATTGATTTAATGTGAAAGTAGACTTTGGACTTTTTCGTCTCCGGGTCACGTTTTAACTACACTCACAGTTTTGATTTAAAGCTTTCGTGACTGCAGGGATTCATAGTCTTGGTTCTTTCGGTAAAGTCACACAAGCAATCATCATCAGGTGTGAAAACCACACCTGATGATGATTGCTTGTGTTGCAGTCGAAACGTCGTGAGAATTTTATTGTTTTATATTTTTATTATTTTATTGTTTCCCTTCTACGTGACTTTACCTGATTTTACCAAAAGAACCAAGAATACACTCACAGTGTGGAGGAAAACACCGTGGTAGCATTGTCTGCTTAAATCGGACTCAATCCTCAACGAGGTAGGAGGCCCGACTTGTTTTGGAAGAAATATCATGATATTGCTAAGAGCTTTTATAGAAGACATGAATACAAATCCTACAATAATTTAGCAGAAAAAAAACACTTTCTACCAACATATAAATCAGGGTTACATATTTCATAAAGGGCGATTCTAAAGGCCCTTCCGAATTTTGGTATCCTATTTTCTTTAAACAATATAATACATTTATACAACAAAAAACTTAACACATCCGTCAATAATGCCACCTTGAAAGGAAAAACTATACAAAAGGTGACATTTCGGGCACTGTCCCTTGTACATGGAACATGCAATTATTATTTTTTATCATTACAAAGTTATATGCATTGCAATACATATTATTTGGGGGTGGGGGGGAGGCGAGGCACCATCTGAGCAGATATCACAAAGCGTAAAGTAAACAATGTGTATGTGTGTCGTGCAGCACACTGAGCAGGCCTTCACATCCGCAAAGGTATGTTCGTATGTATGTTGAACATCTTTTGCACCGCACGTAGCCATCCGGGCTAATTGGAGGTGTGGGGGAATGACAACAAACTAAATGCAAAAAGCAGTTCTAAAGAAATGAGTTTGTCAATCTAGATTATTTAAAAGTGCGAAGCTCCAGTGACTTCCTAATATCGGAAGGAAGAGCGTCCCAGGCGGCTGCAGAAGCGCATCTGAAAGTGCCCAATGCAGTGACCGTCTTTGTTTTTATGGCTAGCCAAAAGCCGCTGCGAGGATGACGCGAGCTCGCGTCATGGTTTGTGCAATTTTACGAGACGAGCAAGGTATTGTGGTTCATTTTTGGCATTCGATCAGAGTGCAACATTACAAAACAAAAGTAAAATAATTTGAATTAGAAAAAAAAAGAAGAAACGCAGCTACAATCAAGTGAATAATATGCGCGAAACATTCACAGATTATGAAAGTTTGAACAAGCCGTAGTGTTTCCGTGAGAAAGCGTGAGTGAATTAATTTCCTGGGCTGAGCGCTCCTTAATTTTCTGTAAAAATATAGTGTGAATATAATGCGAAGTTACACTTACTATTTACAAATACTATCAAATCCCCAACAATAATAGACTCATGCTACGGAAATTACAAATGTAAAGATATGCCTTCGTCAATTTATGCTGAACGGGTTTTAATGTTGTAGCATCTGAATTAATTACCCTAGCGGGTGCTCTCTGAGCATATCATATTCGCGCATGTTTTTATATGAGCTTTTGCACCACCGTTGTCAATGTAGTACCGCTAATTTTGAAAATCGTTTTCACACAACATCGGCAAACAATGCGAGCCTTTTTGAGAGGTCACTTTGTATGAAAAGCAGGCATAGGTGTTAACCTATTATCTTTAAATGTTTCCTAGTCATCGGTGACAGGATATATTTCTTTACATTTGTTTCCCTGTTCAGTGGTGACAGGATATATTTGCCATCTCATCCCCATTGTTAGAGCCAAAAGGCACATATGGGCCAGAACTCAATCTTATCTTCTTCCAGGTGGTAGACAAATCCCACGGACGTTAAGGATATTTCGAGCACAAATCTAGTTTTCTCCGCAACAGTGTCGAGGCAGTCGACGGCAAGGCCAGCACAGCTGCACGAGAGGCTGAGCCCGATGGGCCCCCTTCCGTTTCACATGCCAAGCAGTGAAACGTTGGGGGAAACCATTCTCTTCCGAACAGAGGGCAATCACCATTCCTTCAACGGTATATTCTCATCATAAGTACACTCTGACAAGGTTTTGTTGTTGTTGAAGAAATAATATACTTTTTTTGTAATGTAATTACTTGAATAAAATAATGCTAATAATAACTGATAGCCCAAACCAGTGCTGGTTCAAGGCTTCCCCAACACACCATTATGTCAATGGGGGCTGCTGTTTGACCATGACCTCAAATTTATATCACAACAACATTCTGGAAGATAAATGCATCGTAAATCACATACGCACAATCATATGCAGAACATTTTGCAGCGTTAAGCATCAACAGGGACCATCATTCCCGCAACTATCCATGTACACAATTCCCAAGCCCACAAAAAACAAGTCGTACAGGGACTAATCTACTTACGAACATTCGACTTATGAACTTTCAGAGATGCGAACAAACCTGTCCTATGTCCAGTTGCGTGTTCATAAGTTCAACCGCCGTGCAATAGATGGCGGTGGTGGCATCTACATCTGCCGAACATGAAGAACCAGTGGCATCTACATCTACAGCAGATTATACAACTTGTAAAGCCATTCCCCGTGTTTAGTGTGCATGCCGTAGAATATGTTTGACAGGAGTAAAGCTGCACTTATGAACAAATCGACCTCGGAACCGACCTCTGGGACCTAACTCGTTTGTAAGTATAGGAGTCCCTGTATAACTTACAAAATCAGTGCTACGACGCACTGCAAGCCCAAGTGCAGCAATTGTCGAAGTAAGAAGATTTATTCTTTTAAAGTTCGGGGTGGCAGTGGGGGCCCCCCCCCCCTTACCCTCACCCACCCGGGGGCGGTGACTCACCATCCAGCGAGAGCCAGTCGTGCTGCGTGGCTGGCAGCGACAGAGAGTTGCGCGCCCGGTACTCAAACACCACGGCGGTGGAAATGATCTGCCCTTCGCACGCCACCTGCAGCGTGATCAGCCCTGCCTCGTGAGCTGGGAGCACACGCACGCACGCGCACCGGTTTTAGCGTCTGCGGCATCGTCCGCCATCAGTCACACGTCAGCACATTTCCAGCATTTTCTTCTCAGACAAATATATATTTTTTTGTTATATATATTATCACGAAGCATAATAGTTGTCACGTATTTAGGCACCTTTCACAATGTCTCAATGCATCCGCACATGGAAAAGGGAGGCATACATAATATATAAAAAACCGGGGTGGTAAGATAAAAGCCAGAGGATAACAAAGCTAACGATGAGAATGCTTTCTTTTTATCTATTTTTAGTCGGGACTCAAAAGATATCAACGCCGACCTGTGCCAGATTGTGACAATCGTGTGTTTGGCGAGTGGGCGTGCGGCAAAACGCGGCAAGCTGATCGCTCCACAGAGTGGCTTTTTCTCCAAGCTGTGCTGTTAAACTATAGTACTTTAATACCGAATAGTATTTGCACAGGGCTTTCATATTTTGCGCAGTATGGCTCTCTGATGTGTTCTTTGGTTGTCCCCCGAGTGTTGTTTGGCACGATGTCCGACGTTTCGCAACACATGCTGGGGAGCTTGTCAGAAATCATGCCAAACAATGCGCGGTACGAACGCATTGGAGGTGCTGCAAGTCGCGTTTCAGGCAGAGGCCCTTAACCAGAGCTCAACTGTGATGGCACAGTATGAGCAGAACAGATTTAACGTCAACTTAGCAAGATGTGACGGTACATGCCTGTAATCCGGTAACCTGAAAGCAGGGTTGATGTATCACAGCAAGATGGAGAACGAGTGATGTGCCTCTTTCTACAGGATAGTATGGCGCTTGTATACGTCTTTAGAGCAAGGTGTATGACCGATCTGTGCAAAGTTTGTAAATTCTGCATTTGTATGCACGGGACTTTCCCTGTGCACTGTTTTTTTTGCCCAACTAAAAACCAATATACTAAAATAGGAATTGGAAAACGTCACTAAGCAGTATTCTACTTCAAAAGAGTACAAAGGAATCGTGGGAGTCTCGTAAATAAATACATATACTAGAAACTAAAAAAAAACAGCAACAATACTTAAATATTTCACATTTATACCTTGATTGCACAACTTGATTCCATATGTCTCATTAACTAGCCGTCAAAGCGCCAAACATCTCCAATGGAGACAACTCTGCTGCTTATGATTATGTAATGATATATAGCTCGTATGTAGGTTATATGTAATGTAGATTACATGTAGTTTATGAGAACAATATTACAAATATATCTTTTACATTTTTTTTTAAGTCGGCTCTGCAGCCACACATCTGCTCATCTGCTCTACCGTTTACAATGACCCCGGCGTGACGCGAGCACCGTTTTAAAATCATACAATTTGTTTGCATCCCTCTTTTGCACAAATCGCATTTGTCTCACAAACTTACTCTTAACGTTGATGTGATAGACATTATATTGTCTCGTGGTTATTATTATTGTTAATATTAAATAAAGTGTTATTATTTGATCCATAATTCGTTTCAATTTGGATAAGACCCTGTAAGTATAAATACATGTTAATTTTATTTTGTTAATTTACGTATGTTGAACTTCTTTCACACTGTACATAGCCAGCCGTGCTTATCGGGGATTGTCTTCAACATTATAACCCTCCACCACCTCGCAAAGTGGATCAAATAAAGTTGTTAGATGGACAAATATCCCAATTAATTTGGTTCGTCAGCAAACTGGAATGTGAAAAAGCTAAATGTTGATTATAATCATTACTTTTATACGTAGTCTACTTGATGTAACCCAAAAGAAACCAATTGTGAATCTCAATATGGTAGTGAAAGCCTACGTATATTATTTTATTGTAATTTTAATAACTCAAATGCATCCAATTAAATTCAACCAATCTCTGTAGATAGATTCAAGTCCATCAAAATGTATCTCAAACAGGCTTTCCGCTCGCTTTCAAATTATCTTTTATATCCCAAATCTTTCTCTCCTCTCACACACACACAGCTCTCAACTGTGCTCAATTTAATCCGATATGCACTTTTTAAAATGTCTGTAATGTTGTGCAAAACACACCTGTCTGAACAGAGTTTTGAATTTTATTTTAATATGAAAATAGAATGAACCAGATTATTACATTTTGCAGCAAGATCACAAATCATAATAAACGTTTTTGGGTTAGATCGCGTTATTTGTAAATGTGTCGTAACCCTCCACCACCCGACACGGTCAATCAGCAAAAAAAGTGTCACGTTGACAAAAGACAAATAGTTCACTACTTTAGCCCACCGGTGTGTTGAAGAGTGAATCTACAACATTTACAGTTTTTGAGTACGACGTTTCGCTGGTAATTACATCCAGCATCATCGGGCAATTCGCCAGAATGCTGATTGGCCGTGTCGGGTGGTGGAGGGTTACGACACATTTATAAATAACGCGATCTAGCCCAAAAACCTTTATTATGACTAATACTGGTCGCAAAAGCCTACGTGTTAAACTGAAGATCACAAATCGTTTTGTATTGCCAAGCAGTCGCAAAAAGAAGGGATGGAACACGAATAAACTGAATATCTCTGTTACATGTGCTTTGACCACAGGTACTCAAGTTAACGTAGTACGATTGAGCAATCGTGTAATGAATTTCAGACTTCAGATGTAGACATTGGCCTACCAAATACCGTACTTCAATTATAATTATCATTCTTAATTTGCTAGAGCAAGCCATGATAGAATAAAGGGCAAAATGTAATAAGGCTATACCTTATTCATGTCCAATTTATTCTCCACCCTGAGAGTGCCATGAGCTATATTGGTCTGCGCATAGCTCTTAAAACATTGCGAGTAACCCATTAATTACTATACATGGCACAGCTATTTATAATTTCAGAAACAAAAATTATCGCACCCCAACCTGCCCGTGCCACTTGTGAATAATGCTACACAATATGCGCTTGGCCAAAAAATAAGTAATTTTATTTTTGCATTGTAATAACAGTGGTCCAAATGAGATACTTGCCCCCAGTATGGAAATGTGGAATTTCCGAAACAGTTTGCCAATGGAGCATTGCTCCAATGTTCATTGAACTCGGAAACACGTTATAAAACGAACTCTTGATATTGCGCATCAATGCATTTTATGGACGTGTGCGCTATATTGCATTGAGAAAAAAAAGCCAAATTACTGAACAACAATTTCGCATTTTGACTGCAAGGCATATTTAAATTGCACAGTAATGTACCAGCGTTATTGTATGCTGCATATTTGGCGTGAGCGTAAAAGGACTCGCGAGGCGCCCCTTAGGTCAAGCACCGGACATGTGGGCAAAAAAAATGTGCAAGTAAAAACAGTAATGCGTTGGACTAATGTGCACAGTCTGCCTCGAAGCAACAAGTAACAAGCAAGAGCAAAATAAATAGCAAAATCGTGAATCTCAGAAGAAGGTTTCTCTATTTTTGTAACACTGTAGTATGTTATACACAGGTGCAAATAAAAAAATGCTGAAATAATGCATGTATACTTAAATACATCAGGAACACATGTAGTAAAAATGGGGTACATTAGCTTGGCATTGTGCGTGTATTTAATGGGCTCATTATTGACTTAAACAACTTTGCTTTACCAAAAATTTACAATACATTTTAAGGATATTACATATGAAAGTGTTAATTTAATGAAGTGTTAGTTTAATAACATTTAACGAAGAACATAATTAATAGCACACGCGTTCATGCGTATCATCACATGACTGTTCTCAGCAGCTCATACGAAAACATTTTATTTTTATACACACGAGCTGAACAAAAAATTAGCTTTATTTTTAATTTAAAGCTTTCGTGACTGCAGGGATTCACATTCTTTGTTCTTTCGGTAAATAACCAAGAATATAAAAAAACAATTAGCGTAACCTTTCTACTTTCTCATTTGACCAATAAGAAACCCCTTTAGAACCGCAATTTCAATCGTCCCGTCAGACACCACTTACAATAACGCACCGCCAGGCTTAGCCCTTCGATCGATAAATATGACAAATTAAAAAAACACAAACACTCCGGCGACTCCGGCAGGGCTTTAACCCAAGCCCAATTTGCGCCGATGCCCCAGCTGGCCCCCCGTGCTTTACCGTTGGTCGCAGACAAAAGTGATATCACCTATCGCCGCCGTCGTCATCTGCGCCGAGGCTCACTCTGAACGGCGGACTGTGCCACCACGATCTGGCCTCCTACTCGAGGACGTGCTGTTGAATATCGTCGTGGGGGGCACGGAGGTAAGGGGCCCGCATCCCCCTCTCCCAGTGGGACATCACTCAACGGGGGGGTGGGGGGGGGGGGGGGGGGGGAGGGGGGGCCAACGCTCACAGCGCCCCGGCGGCATCACCGCCTCGTAATAGCCGATAAAGCTGGATGCTGAAACTTGAGCCACTGTGATAATTGCTTCACTTCTTACTGAGCTGGCCGTAGGCCTCGGCAAGGTAAGGTAATTTAGCTTTTTTTTTTTTTTACCGGGTAAAAGGGTAAAGGTGTCGACATGCCAAGGGGTAAGGTAAAGGGTAGGGTAAAGGTAGCTTGGAAGAATTACCCGGTAGGGTAAAGGTAGCACGAAGTATTACCCGCTAAATACGGTGCCTTGTTTACTGCTAAAAGCTCCGTGGCGCAGTGCGTGGCCTCCATTTAATAAGTAATATTTTAAATACTTTTTTAAAAACACGCTTTAATGAAATGTACCGTACTAGTAATGGAAGAACTCCACGACTTCAGGAAGTGGCCTCGAAGTTTGCCACAACGTAAGGGGACCGTGGTGATGTACAGCCAACGTTAGTTGAGTGTGGACAATTAAACCCAAGCCGAAACATAACATATAAAAAATAATGTTTACAAATATTTTTATTTTATTTTAATGATACAATACAGTATTGTCATCAGTATGACATAAGTATACCAAGTTTGCAGTCGATACCACATTGGGAAGTGGGTTAAAATTGAGTTACAAGATTTGAGGATACAACGACAACAACAGACAGTGAGTTAAAAGAAAGCGTGTAAAATTGGAATAATCGAGAGTATTCTATATGAATAAAGCGCTCTACCTTTTTCATGTGTAGTACCCCAGTAATTACCCTGTAATCGGGTAATTTGTATGGGGTAAGGGTAAAAGGTAGGGTAAAGGTAGGCTCGTTGCTTTTAACCTTTTACCTTACCTGCTGAAGGGTAAAAGGTAGGTAGAGTGTTGTATAGTGGTAAGGTAAAAGGTAGGGCAAAGGTAGGCTCGTTGTTTTTACCTTACCTTGCCGAGGCCTAGCTGGCCGCCAGTGCACTTGGACAAATGTGTTTTTTTCTTCGCGTGCGTTTCTGCGCAACGCGAGGTTAACTTTTTTTTGTATATATAAAGGTTGTTTCTCTGATACATTTACCGTCTATATTTTTCAGGTGAATAAAGTTATTTGATTTTTTAAAATGAAAACGAATGAGTTCTTCCTCTAGCGGTCCGATGCGTTTTCGGGCTGTTACACCGTGTTATTCGGCACGATGTCCGACGTTTCGCTCCACAATGCTGGAAGCTTCTGAAGGGCTGGGCGGACACATGCAGCGAAATGTGCATCCCCAAAACACCTCGCAGAGTAAAATAGCACAAGCTCTAAAATGTACACAGTAAACCGCAGCTGTGTATCTTTCAAAAATGCAGCATGTACTTCAATGAAACGGTATGAGTGGTTTTCCAGACTTATGTTAAGCCACACCACTCTGGGCCAGTTTTTCCCTTCGCTAGGGCTCATCAGTAGAGCGATGCATGTACAATATTAAAATATTGCTGTATTTTTTATATTAATATATATTTGACAAAGGGAAAACATGTATTTGTTTTTAATTTGAAACTTTCTGGAAATATTAAATGTTTGCACAACCAGCGAAGCACTTTAAAATACGCAAGTTACTTAGTAAGTGGCAACTATTAGTATTAACTAATAGGAAAGTTACATTTTAAAGTATGGTTAATTATGTAACGGCCTTCTTTGAAACTTTACTTGCTTGACCAAGACAACAAACAGGACTATGGTACTTGGTGGGGGAATGTTTACCTCCAACAGCTTGGTCTATCGGTCATCATATTCTGCTAGATAGAGTTGCAACGATTACTTCCAGGGATTATATCCAAAGAAAATCGTGACAATTTTGCTCATGGGGAGACAACGTACTGTGCATACAGTACATATGAACTAATTATATGGCATGCTACAATGTACATTGCAATAATCATTTTGGCACTTATTTTTTTAGGTTATATGGAACTTGGTGAGAAAATACTTTGACGACCGTTTTCATTCTCCGAATTAACTAAAAGAAAAATGTCTATGTGATTTCTACAATAAGGATTTTATCAAATGTAATTCATAACATAAACGTGTGATTCCCACACATTTTTGTAAAGCAGCACAGAGCAGCCTCAAGCACCGGCTGTGAAATCCTGTATGGGAATCCACAGGGCCTCTTCAAGGAAGATGCAAACCCAAGGAAAAAGAGTAATCATCTTGTTGACAGAGCCAGAGTTGTGTATTGCCAGGGTGTGACATGAGTTTGAAGCTTTCGCTTATGGGGGAAATCACGACGAGGAAACACGGTCAGGAGGTGACCGGGCAGGGCACTGTAGCTGGCGCCACTGAGACCCTGGGTCCATACCCAGACAGGCCTCCTGTGATTAAACTGGGTTCTCAAGTGCAGCGAGCTGACGGAGAAGTCCCGTAAAAGATCTCTTCTGCAAGCCATTGTGAGACGTGGCGCAGACTGCTGTCCTAGACTTTCGAAACTCTTGCTTTGCCTCGTGACTCGAAGGCGATGGGTAAATTTGAATAGGACTGTAGGAGAAATACCTTTAACAATCAGTCAAGATCACTCTGCAGTGGTGTCAGTAGTGATATTAATAGAATGCTCTTGAATTATTAAAAACATATTTTTGATCCATGAGTAACCAAGCCTGGAACCCATGAAAAGAACCGAAATACATAACTTACATAAGAGCTGTTGATTTTCACGAGTTTTCATGTTACTTTAAATTCATTACACGTTGTTTGGGATTTTTTTTTTGTCAACGTAGGAGCGGTGCAGGATGTAATGTGCGTCTCAAGACGGCGCAGCGGCAAATGCTCTACTGCTGTGCACTCAGCTAGTGAGCAGTTTGTACGTGGGTCTCTCTCAAGAGGTCAAATTAACGTTCAAATAAAATAACTGCAAGATGCAGGCTTATTTTTTAACACCGCTTGGCTTTTCGAGAAACGTAAACTTTCAAGACACGTGTTCATAAAATTGAACCCTTTCGCTACAGTTTGGTGGATGATTTTTTTTTCATACATGGGTGGAACGATGGCACAAATTTTCTTAACCCCCCCCCCCACCTAAGTCCAGCCATCAGTAAAATGGTTTATAAAAAGTTAGTCGGTCGGCAGATCGCGGTGTGGTGGGGGGTAAAGTGTGGGGGGTACACCAGCTTCTTTCAAGACATTTGACCAGTATGGAAGACTTGGCCAAAATATCCTCCAGAACAGTGGTTCTGGAGCCTTTACCGCAGCCTTGCGCCCCTTTGGTTCTCAATCATTAAAACATGTATAATGTTAACACATAGGTGTGATGAAACAAAGTAGTTGTACTTACGTGCCCGTGCTTAATTTGCGTTTAAAAAATAAATCCGGCATGTTCTCGACACCCCCAGAAAAGGCATCTCGCACCCCCAGGGGATGCAGCGTGCACCCCAGGTTAAGAACCGCTGCTCTAGAGGGGCTCTCTAGAGCTCCCTGTAGTAAGTTCAGTGGTAAAAATATTTGTTTTCGAGTCAATGCCGCTATCCATCCACAGGGTACTCTTTTTTCATAACATGTAACATTAGCAATAGCCGGCATGGGCCGGGAACGTGTGCACAGAAGGCTTTAAGACGGTCCCTCTAAAGGGACCACACCAGCACCCCCTGACCTACCCCGCCCTCTACCCACAATCCATCGCTACAAATGTAGACAAGCGTGATGGTCTCACCTGGGCAATAGCAGCGAAGCACCCCGCTCTGAATTAACGTCGCAGGGACGGAGATCTGGTCGAAGAGACAGCTGTAACTGTCGCTGCTCACATTCCACGGACCCGTAATAAGAACTTTCACTCCTCCCTGAGAAAAATACGTGAATAGAGAGTGATGGATTTATTAGTATTTTGTTACACTTTTTTGGCCGAGTACAAGTTATTGCGATTTCATTACTGTGCACGTCAGTATATACTGTATCATATGATATCAACTTAATTAAAATAAACCTCAACGAATAGTGTAAATATTACATATGCTAAAGATGCCAATTGTCATTACATTAGTGAATCAAGTGCTATTCTATCCATCTACGTCTAATGCGGATTAACTCACTATTACAACCTTTACTACTCAAACAATCTATCATGTGACATTAATAACGCACCTTTTTTTTCGATTTACAAATAACATCACAACACAGTGTTTGCTCAGAACAGATTTAAAAAAAACCGCATGAACACGGTGGGGGGTCGCCCTCTCTTTGGTCTCGAATTTACTCGGTCCACTGCTTGCTCAGGTGTGTTTCAGTGCAAAGCAATCGCACGCATTGCGCGCCGAATGCGCGCAGTCTGGGAATATGGCAACGCAAGCGGGCCAGCAGAGACCTAAAAGACAATATCATGGAAAACTTCTACACTTTCACCATTAACCTGCGGATGTGTGGAAGGAGCAGAGCATCCCCCCCCCCCACCTGCCACCCCTCGCCTCTCCTTAGGTCTAATGAGGCAATTGGGACGTTTCACTGCACCCGTGTCATCATCATGCGCGGCTGTGCTCGCATCGCTCCTGCCGATGGACCCACGATACGTGGCTGGGGCGGGGACACATGGTTATCCACGAACACGGCGAGCAACAGAAACGTGACCCCGCTTCTGATAAAGTCTCAATGCCAAATCGATACTTGTGATTTACCCAGGAGAGCCTCACTGGGTGTCCAGATTGCTTTTGCTTGGAGGGCCTCCTACAATAAATGGGCTGTTTGGCCAATTCCATAGTATGTACATATGTTGAACTTCTTTCATACCATACATAGCCAACCGTGCTAATCGGAGGTGTGAGGGGCATACAACAAACTCAACACAAAAAGCAGTTTAGTTTGTTGTCTCCCCTCACCCGCACCTCCATTCACGAGTGTCTGGCTCCATGTGCGAATCAATTCAAGTGTCCCGGAGAAAAACCCCCGACATGGAGAGGGGCTGGTAACACTCAAAGCTCTGCATCAGACAGATAAAAGTGGGTGGAAAACTCAGAGAGTAGATTACCCCACTTTGAACGCTAAACGGAGTTACACTGACAAATATATTTATATTTAGGTCGACGCAAACTAAATCAGCATAGCACATCGCTGGCAAGATGGATGCGCGTTACTTAACTCTCCTGGGTGGTGAGTGTCACAGCGTAGGACTGTATTGTGTTTCGGCATTGAGTTAAGTGCATTACTGAGTGTTTACAAACTCCAACGACTCCACATGCCATCGAATTACAATGGCACGAGTAGCCCCAACACCCCTATTTGTAACAAATAAAACAGAGGCGTGAGACAACTGAGATGGAACCCAAACACACCAGGAAAATAAGCACCCAAATAATTTTCGTGAAACAAATGTTTGTGGAAGAGTGGAATTCATTAATGAAATCCTCGGCATATATTGCAACATCCAAAACATACCGCGAGTCAAAATAGCTTCTCTTTATACTTCTCTTCCCCCACAGTGCTCGAGATTGGAATTCCCTATCTATTGTCTATTTTCCCAAAGTCTTACAATCGTGCTCAATTCAAGAAACATATTAAACCGATCGCACATTTATTCTGCGACGCCTTCAACACCGCTGTTCATTGCTGGCCGCTCAGTGTTTCAGGGCCTTTGGGCCTGTGCTCAGCACCCGTGATAAAATAAAATGACAAAATGAAAAATACATGTGATATAAGACACTCACCTCAGGGTAGGACCATTCCGGGGAAAAATCTGTCACAGTCACCAGCTGCCCAGTGCCGGCCCCATGTCCATCACTTCCCACCATGCCCTGCGGCGACTCCACACCAGCCATCCCCACAAACGAAACCGAGCTGCCAGCCGTGCTCAGCTGTAGGCCAGGTAGCCCATTCTGGGCTTGCTGTTGACTCTGTTGTTGTGGCTGCTGCTGCTGTGGCTGCGTGCAGTTCATGGGGACGTGTGACGTGAAAGTGCTCACAGTTCCGCCACCACCGTTGCTGCTGCCCTCGATGAGCCTCTCCTGTAGGCCGTAAAGACTGCGGGAGCCTCCACCTGAAGGGATGGTGCAGAACGACAAAAGGCGGGACCCCAGGGTAAGACCGATTTTTTTTTTTGCAATAGCTTCAGAAACATGAACTGTCGTCATTTTTCATGCGAAGGGAAATTATGTGCGAATTCGATGACAGGTCATGAGTTATTTAGTATTTTTACTCGCCGATAGAAAGGCTGCCGCATGTCTTACTTTTCAATGTGTAATACATTTGCAATGTTGTGAAAGTACAACGTGGACAAATTAATCACTTAAAATATGGTGAATTTTAAAAAAAGTATGTTAATTAAAACGTAAAGAGCTGGGAATGTAAAAAAAAACCTTATAAGAAAAAAAACCCAGCACAATATTATTTATAATCATGCATATGTTATGTATAATCTTAAGTCTACTGTGCAAGAGTCAGGATTAGACGTCGAAACATATGTGCACACGTGTTTGACTATCACGTAGGCCTCATATTGTGATACTGCAACTTTAAAACACAAAGTTTCATGTACTTTGAATGACAACATCCAACAATCAGATCTTCCTTTCCTCCCACTTAAAGTAGAACAAGCAAGTTGCTTCAGGAGAACCCCACTCACACTGACGAGATCGTGCATGCATTGGTGCAATTTATTTTAAATAATACTGTCCATGGACCCATGCATCAGATGCCACAAAACACGTAATTTCATATTGCAAGAGAGCACAATGTAACTACCCTTTCTATCCTTTCGCAGCTACATGTAAAAAAAATATTTGCAATCTGGTATCATGAATGATAAGTTAACGGCGCTAGTTTTGAGAAATATATATTTTTTTAATTCAGTGGTTCACTACAGGGCACGTGAGTGGTAAGAGAGACTTCTACACTCAATGTACACTCGATACTTTTAAACCATCACCAGTGTGGAATGAATTCCAATTTATCTTCACTCATCGTGAATCCAAAATTAAACTCGGCTCTCAGGCCAGTCATGCCCGGGACTGTGCTCCAATATAGTGCTTCCAAAAGAAAAACAATCTAGCCAATTTCAAATACATCCTTTTGGACTCCAAAGAAGTTTGAAATTCCATTACGATGCTACAGAACGCTTTATGGGGCATCCTCATGCCTGCCAAATTCATTTAAGTTTTACGTGATTGCCACTAGAAGTGCAAGTAAATGGCCTAGTCCTCTGTGCTATCTGTACCACAGATCTGGTTGTCAACATCAATTGGTTGATATTTTCCACTAAGAGCTTGAGAAAAAAGCATTGTCTTCCAATGATTTAACCCTCATTTAAGTGAATTGCATTACGAGCATATAATTGATTAAACAAAACGCTCTGTAATCTGCATCAAACCACCCTCGACTGCAAATTGATAGCTCTTCCTGGGCTAAGCATATTTCATTATGCCCAACTAACTGTCGTAGAATTATGGTCATTTTATCCAATGGTATGACTATCAGAATGACTATTAATCATCTGTATTGTTCCTGTTATTGTCATATTGTCTGCAATGCTTGTTAGGCCATTCCACCAACAGGCAGTCATATTTTTGTTACGCACACCCAGATAAATCGCAATGTCCCTCCTGCCACAATATAAACACACTACAAATTGTTAGGTAAGTGACAGTTCACGTGACAACACAGGATAATATTCTGTGACCCCTTGAGGTCACGAAGCACTCGGGGGACATTTTAGGGGAATCGTTGCCAGCAAAATAGTCACTTGGAATGGTTGCCACACCGTCTGCCATGCCGCCAGACGCAACGAGCGAACTGACAATATGAGTCCGGTGAAAGCTGCCAAATGTAAACACCCGTCAGAGTTCAACAGCATCGGTTCGTGCAAGCCGGGCTCTACTGATGAGACGCTGAATGTCAAAACCAGTCGAGAGTTTGTTTGCGTTGAACGAATGCTCCTAAAGTAATACACTCTCAGAAGGCCATGCGGCTGATGGGATGTCTAAAAAAAGACTCGTATTTTTTTTACGTGGAGGGATAAAACGTGAAGGGGGTGTATTGTTTACATTGTTACAGGTCACTCTGTCATTGCCACACCAAAGATCACTACATTTTCTCCTTATCAAACCTGCATCCAGTGAACAACGACAGTAATTATTGTCATAAAATTGCCCTTATGTATCTGCAGCCTGCAATAATCACAGGTGACATCGCACAACTATGTCTGGTGCGATCATACCCTTGTATAGCTTCCTGCAAAATTAGTGTCATTGCATGTTCAGGCAGGCCACAGTGCGATTGTGGCCATGCAACCTAAACTATGGGTTACCTTATAGTGAACCACTGTAGCTATTTCTGTGACCAGTCACAAGCTAATCACTCAGCTATTTCAATGCTAAATTCTATGCTAATTCCTTTGTCAAGGGGTGCCTCTGCGGATGTGTATACTTTAACTTAGCTATTTCAATGCTAAATTCTATGCTAATTCCTTTGTCAAGGGGTGCCTCTGCGAATGTGTATACTTTAACTTAGCTATTTCAATGCTAAATTCTATGCTAATTCCTTTGTCAAGGGGTGCCTCTGCGGATGTGTATACTTTAACTTAGCTATTTCAATGCTAAATTCTATGCTAATTCCTTTGTCAAGGGGTGTCTCTGCGGATGTGTATACTTTAACTTAGCTATTTCAATGCTAAATTCTATGCTAATTCCTTTGTCAAGGGGTGCCTCTGCGGATGTGTATACTTTAACTTAGCTATTTCAATGCTAAATACTATGCTAATTCCTTTGTCAAGGGGTGCCTTTGCGGATGTGTATGCTTTAACTTTAACATAGCCATTTCTGTGACCAGTCACAAGCTAATCACTCAGCAATTTCAATGCTAAATTCTATGCTAAATCCTTTGTCAAGGCACTTTGTTTCTTCTCACACAGCTTAAAGGTCGTGATCTCAGCGTGGCTTTTTTCACTCCAGCGCTGTCCTCCAGACAGTCTCGTCCCTTCACCTGATGAAGGCCGCTTGTGTTGTGGCCGAAACGTCGTGATTTTTGTTATTTTATTTTTTTACCTACGTTACTTTACCCAATAGAACCAAAGAGTATAAACCACTGTAGTCTGCACTCCTCCATTGGAGGAGTAGCAAAACGACACAAACTCTCTCTCCTGAAGCCCTCACTGATTGTGGATAGCAGAACTCGACATTGGCATTAAGCTCCTCAACATATTGACATTTGCATTAACATAAGAAAGTCCTTCAGAGCAAAGCTAAGTCGATGCAGCTGAAAAGCTACTGGGTGGGCTTTGAGGTTGTGCTATATAGCCTGGGAGCTTTTTGAGGAACTTAATGAAATCATGAACTTAATTAAGTTACGAATGAATTTTCCTAACAAGTCCCCGGCACGTGGAACGGAACGTCAGGCATTATGTTGAACAACAGGCGTTGCAACCCGGAAAGTACATCAGTTATTTATTATTTGCATTCATGTGCAACTGTTGTAATAGAATCAACTCACTCTACATTCGAAGAGGGTGCAATGTCTTGGCAGCTACATCATGGGACCTCCTTTGCCAGTATCAAAATATGAGAATAGGTTTTTTCTCATATTTTGGTACTGGCAAAGGAGGTGTCATGATGTAGATGCTCACCCCGAGCTCTCGTTACTCTGATAGTGACATTGTATTTGTGCTGTACGCCTTTTGGCATTGTCTGGTGTAACACCGTTTGAAACGAGGATCAAAAGAAAGCTGTCTCTGGTGTGGACCAATCAGTTTCAAAGGCAATGCATCATATATTATCAGAGTATGTTTTTGTTCGTATTCTGACCACAAGTATTGTGGTTAATGCAGACATGATTCCTTGTAAAAGGTGTTTTTTTGTTGCCAGAAAAAAAGGGGAAAAACAATTCTAATGTCTTGGTAGCTGTCTGGGATTTGAACCCAGACACACAGGCACTGATAGATTAGGTAAATTAACATTTAAATCGTAACCTACAAAAGTATTACAAAATATAATTTGATGTTCAGAACAACTGATAAAAAAGTAATGCGTGCTAATCGTGGCATGCAAGTACTTTTAATATCCTGTTCTCAAAGAATTTTGACTGCCACTCACACCAAGATAAGACTAGGCAGTCATACATAAATATAATAATGTGTCTTGTCAACTTTAATAAGTTTCTACACGATTAGAATGGACAAGACTTCATTCTCCGCTGCCTGAAATAAGCTCTTTCACTTTGTTACGTACGGGAGGCACGCACGTAGACACACATGTAGACACACATGTGTGTTACCTCCAGAGTCCGTAGCCATGAAGTCGGCCATGAGGTCAGGGAACTGGCTATCGAAGGTCAGGTCAAACTGCTCCAGGTTGATCTCCATGTTCGAGGCACCACCGCCTCCCCCGCCGCCACCGCCAGAGCTCGTCCCGCTGCTGGCCGACGCACTGGCCATGTCGCTCTGCACCATGTTATACAGGTCTCCTGCATTGCCCGCCTGCAGAAAAAGAAAGCGTTGATCAGCGTCCATCCGCAAGCAGCACTAGCAATTCATTCGTTCATTCACTCATTCACTGCTGGATGACGGCCTCCCCCACGCCGTGCGCATGGCGCACGGGGCTATTCTGACCGTACTTCACCACGCTGCCCAGCGCTGGTACGTGAAGGCAGAAGGCAGAGACGAGGAAGCGCAGAAGTGCAGTACAACTATGGATTGTTGCTGCTCTGCTCACTGCTGCTCAGAATGTAGCCACACAGGCTCGGAAATGTATACGGCGCATATAATGAAGGGAAAAAAACAACAACCGTGTATGTCATTGAATACATAGGTTTGATGAAACAAATTAGTTGTACTTACGTGCCCTGCTTAATTTGTTTAGATGATTTACCTTCTAAAAACATCTGGCATGTCTCGCACCCCCAGAAAGGGCATTTCACACCTCCAGGGGGTGCAGCGTGCACCCCAGGTTAAGAAGAAGAACCACTGGTTTAAGTGTTGTAATGCCTCGTCCTATTACTGGCATACCAAGATCGTTTTGCGCGCTTAACTTGTCAATAAATTGACACCTAAAACACCACGTGGGTAATGCAGCACCAAGGAAGAATGATCACATACTAAAATAAGCTTAACCTTTAAGGCCAATTGTTATATAATCCACGTACATTGCACCATTGCCAACCGTGCTAATCAGAGGTGCGGGAAAAAAGATAACAAACAAAACACAAAAAGCAGTTAAAAATTTGTTTTCAATATATATTTAAAAGTGCATAGCTCCAGCAGCATTCCAGACGGCCGTAGAAGTGCACCTGATAGCACGCAATGCATTCACCGTCTTTGTTTGATGGCTAGCCAAAAGCGACTGCTGCTGCGAGGATGACGAGAGCTCGCATGACGGTTTGTGCTCCTTGACGAGATCAGCAATGCATTGTGGTTCATTTGTGGCAAGCACTTTGTGTGTAATGAGTTCGACCTTATCATGTATTCATTTGGCAACAGGAAGCCAATGCAGCTCGGCGAGCACTGGACGGACATGGTCGGATCTTGCAGTACCCCGTCACAACACGTGCCAGAGAATTTTGTAGACGCTGCAGCGCGGTAATGTTTTTGCCAGGCGTCCCATAGAGTAGTGAGTTGCAATAATTGAGTCTTGTTGATACTATGCTACACGCCACCGTGTTGGCTTTGTCACGACTCAATAATGGTCAAATGTTTGTTGAGCCCCGATATGAAAATTGCAGAACTTGACTATATTTTGCACCACTGCACCACCTTTGCCTTTTACGTGTAACACTGCCAATAATCTGCAAGATTATCTGCACCTCGGATTAACATGGTTGGCGACGTTATGGCACGAAATAAGTTCAACATACATACATACAGGATTCATAATAAAGGTTTTTGGGTTAAATCGCGTTATTTATAAATGTGTCGCAACCCTCCACCACCCGACACAGCCAATCAGTAAAAAATGTGTTTCCCTTCAACATGACTTTACCGAAAGAACCAAGAATATAAAAGACAAATAGTTCACTACTTTAGCCCACCGGTGTGTTGAAGAGTGAATTCACAACATTTACAATTTGAGTACGACGTTTCGCTGGACATTACATCCAGCATCTTTGGGCAATTTGCTAAGATGGGGAAGCCATCCACCTGCTTCCGGGCTTAAATCGTGCAGGATGACGTCATCATTGTTGAACCCCATCAGGTTTCGAGATCAGAGGCGGAAGTGGGGGTGGGGGTGTATGCAATTATGTAATAGATCAGTAATCAGCCACCTTAGCATGTGACTCACCTGTAAGGAATTGCAATACGTGCTTGGGATAATCGAATGTTCCTTTGGTGTCTTACGCTAATGTTACGTCCCGTCTGTCCAATATAACACTTACCGCACAAGCAAATGATCCGATATACACCTTCCGTTGATAACTTCGGTAATTCATCTTTAGTACAAGACACTAGTTTTTGAATTTTGTGTACCGTACCAAATCTCACTTTAATGTTTTGCTTTTGCAAAACTCGGGCAAATTTGTCAGTAACTCCTGAGATATATGGTATTTTAATTGTTTTGATAATCTGATCACTTTAAGCAGTATTGTTGTTCGGTCTTGGTTTGGCATTCAATGCTCTGTTAATTTGAGCATTATTGTAGCCATTCAGTCTGAGTGCTTCTTTAACATGTTTAATCTCTTTCCTTAGACTTTCACCATCTGACACTCTCTTTGCCCGATGTTTCAGCGTCTTGATGAGAGAGGATTTCTGTGCTGGGTGATGATGCGAATCTGCATTCAGATAGGCATTAGTGTGCGTTCCCTTTCGGTCCAAGAAAAATATCCAGGAATGGGAGTGTGCTGTTCACCTCCATTTCCATGGTGAACTGAATGGCTGGGTTTTGTGCATTGAGATGATTTTAAAATGCATTAAGTGTATCTTTACCATGTGGCCAGACAACCAAAGTGTCATGGACATATCTAAACCAATAATATGTTTTTAATGTACTTGAGGGAAGTGATCTTGTTTCAAAGTTTTCCATGTACAGATTTGCTATAGCAGGAGACAAAAGAGAGCCCATTGCTGCTCCTTCCTTTTGTTTAAAGAAGTCACCTCTCCACAAGAAATAAGTTTTATTTAGACAATGGTCGGCTAGTTTTGGAATATCTTCTGGTAAACCTGTGTTCTTTACCAGTGTATCAAGTAATTTAAGTGACTCGTTAACTGGAACCTTAGTGAATAGAGAAATTACATCAAAACTTACCAGAATATCATGAGAGTTAAGTTTAATATCTCTAATCACATTCACAAGATGTTCTGAATTTCTTATAAATGAAGATGTCCTACCGATGTAGGGCTGTATTTTTTTCGTTACATATTTTGCTAATTTATATGTGGCAGAGCCTATTGTACTTACTATGGGTCGTAATGGGATACCGATTTTATGAATTTTTGGTAGTCCATACAATCTTGGTGGTTTTGAGGCCCGTGGCTTAATTTGGTATTGCTCCATCTTGGAAATTAATGAATTTACAATGATTGCAGAAGTTTTGCATTCTAAAGTATTGGTTGGATCCCGGTACATTTTAATATAGGTATCTTCCGCCAATAAATCTTTAATTTTATTATCATAATCTGATTGGACATCACTACAGTAGTGCGGCCTTTATCAGCTGCCAGAATTTGAATTTCTTTATTTAATCAAAGCTCTCTTAAGGCTTATGCTTCACCAAAGCTAATATTTATTTTTGGTATTTTGCTATTCTCAATTATTTTGGCAACCTCGTCTAGTCTTCTCTGCCTCGTTATGTGGAAGATGTATTACCGCTGATTCCACATCGGCAATTATCTCATCTACTGGAATTGTGCGTGGGGCAACGGCAAAGTTAAGGCCTTTAGAAAGGACGGAAATCATGTCACTGGTTAAATCAGTGTTAGTTAAGTTCATTACAGTTTTGTTTTTAAATTGTTCGTTATTATTTGGGACTTGTTTGTTTTGTAGTCTGTAGAATTTCTTAATTTGCTTAGTTTTAGTTAAATTAAATATATTATCAGCCGATTGTTCTATTATAGTATCGATGTTAATAATATTGTCACGGGTCATGGGTGTGGGTGGTTAATTGGTCTCGGCGGGGTAGGTGACAGTCGGACACGCGACGTTGCACTCCGCGTCACGCACGCGTTCTCTGGACCCACCTGCAGCGCCGCTAGCCCCGTGCCACCGTTACTGCTGCTGCTCACTTTGGGCTCCGAGAACTGCCGCCCGGCATCCGACGGGACCTTGGGCGCCATCGCGATGTCGCCCGTCGACGAGTGGACGCTCACGGACACCGAGGTGTCCATGGCCGTCTCCACGTCCTGCTGGGGCATTGCCTGCAGCTCCGGCTGGTACTGGTACAATCGCACCGGGGAGCTGGGGTCCGATTTCACACTGGGGGAAGGGACGCTCACTCCACCGCTGACACTAGGCCCGTTGCCATTGACTCCAGCACACACTGCTGAAAACTGCGTAGGACTTTCCGTCTTCAGGACCTGGGTCTGGGCGAGTGGGCTCGCCGGCTTGCTGCAGCCAAGGTGCTGCTGCTGCTGTTGTTGTTGTTGTTGCTGTTGTTGCTGTTGCGGCTGATGCTCCTCTTTTGTGGGGTTCTCCTGCAATGTGAAAAACCCAGGAGATGGCTGCTGCTGTTGCTGTTGTTGTTGCTGCTGCTGCTGTGAATGCTGGTGCTGGATTTGTAAGGAGGAAGGGGGGCTGGCAGGAAGGTGCGTGTAGGTGATGGCTGAATAAGGCTTGTGTGTGTAAAGGCTACTGAAGTCCATATTCTCCAGAGTCGTAGAGGGACTCAGGCACCCAGAGGAGATCAACGTCCCCTTAATAATCTGGTTGGTTGACTCAGAGTTGATAAGCAACTGGTTGTCTGGCTTAAGCGTGGAGGCAACGGGATCGGACGAGACAATCATCCCTCCGTACTCCTCGTCCACTTGATGATCCATTCCTTTGACTTCCGTCTTCAACGAATGAATGAGTCCCGTTGCCGGGCTGAAGACAGCCTCGGCGGCGCCCGGAGACGCGTACCCCGGGTTGATAGAGTCCTTGTTGAGGCCCCCTCCGTACGTCTGGCCCTGCTTGGGACTGTTCAGGAAAGCGTCGGGGTCGAACGTGGACGGGGCGCTGATGATGGAGGCCCCGCCACCGCCGCCACTGTCTCCGGTGTCCATGCTCTGGTGGTGGTCGACGGCCACGGCCCCCGCCAGCGCCAGGGCGGAGTCCAGGCCGCCGTGCGGCAGCAGGGTCAGACCCGACAGCTCGGAGCTCGACCCCGCGGCCAGCCCCGACAGCTCGTGGTTGGCCGTCGGCGGAAGCGCCAGGTTCGGTCGAACGGACTCCAGCGACAGCTCCTGGTTGACGGTGAGGCCCAGGCCCTGGCCGCCGGCTGACGCGGCGAGCGACATGAACTGCTGCCCGCCGGACAGCGCGGTCGATATGGGCACGGGCTTTCCGCCCGCGATGCCCGTCATGAAGATGACGGCGTTCTGCGGGAGACTGCACGTCACCGCCGCCATGGCGAGGCCATCCGCATCGCCGAAGAAGTTGTTGGCGGAGCCGAGCGGGGAGTTCTGCGTTGTGTCCGGGATCTCCACCTGGCTCTCGGAGGTGGACGACGACACCACTTCGCTGCTGCCGCCCTGCTGCTGCTGCTGCCGCTGCAACTGCTGCAGCTGTTGCTGCTGCAGCGCCGAGGTGGACGAAGAAGGCGGGGAAGGCGACGGGCTCGCCTTGGAGCCCTTCCCCGTGGGCCTCTCCTGGCCGGGGCTGCAGCTGCTCGGCTCCGTCTCGCACTTGGTCTCACAGGACGAGGAGGTGGATGAGGAGGTGGATGAGGAGGCGGAGGAGATGTTCTGTACCTCGGTGAGGGCGGCCTGTGCGGCAGCGCCACCGCCACCCTTTGCCTCCACCTTGGGCGAGATGATGCGGTGCTTCGTGCTGTTGCACTTGTGCGGTGTGCTCCCTGCAGCCCCTAACCAGAAGAAAGCAGTCAATAACAATGGCGGGGCGCGAGGGAACAGTGGCGGCGCGTGAACGCGTTCAACGAGAGACAATGGCGCGAGTGAGAAGCGCGCGATGGACAGGACTGGATGTTATAGATGTCCGCGGCCGCTCGGGTACATTTTCTCCGGGAAGCCAGAATAAAAATGTTTCCGTGGAAAAGGTTCCCTCTGAAAAAACTGTCATTTAGTTTCTGTTTTCATCGCTATCAATTATCACCGCGATATCCAGCATGTCATTGCGGCGGTCTAATTCATGGGACACATTGTCTAACATCCAGGGCTGTAGCGCAGCATCTCCTACTAAGCGGTTGAGCGGCGGGGTGATGTCACACAACACAAAGCACATCTGAGGCCTGAAACAGCATCTTGGTTGGAGAATCTGAACGCAAGTGCGAACGCCTGCGTTGTAGGTTTGTCGTCAGAGCGTTGTCCTGCTTCTCTCAATAGTCTCTGCTCTGCTTTGTCGACATCCATTGGAACAACAGTACACCCGGTAAAAAATGTACAGTGAACGTAAAAATGTAAAGGGGGCCCTGGCGAAGTGCCAGAGATAGGTATGAAAAAGTGCGGCTACTGTGGGAGAGCATTACTAGCGATTGACCGACCAGTTTGTTCAGGGGCACAAGTTAGGGCGAGCATTTGGTTGGCTAGCACATGCGCGCTCCCAATGTACTGTTTTTGCCCCTTCCTTCTCAATGCCACGTACAATTTTTTTTCGGATATATTTTGGCCACTGTTTACTTGTACGGTTTATACATCCACACTTATCCCCTGGTGACCATGTACCGGTGTCATATTCAAGTTACCTCTCTAGTCGGTGTATTGGGTTGAGAGTTAATTGACAGGGCATCCTTGTTGACAACTAAAGCAAATGTTTGACAACTAATATGGTTAAAACTACAAATATTGGTGAATAATGAGCAATACATTATTGTGTTCTTTGCGTGTTGGGCAAATGTATACTGATCTTAATCTATATATAAAATCGTGAACACGTGATCTACTGCAATAACATACAAAAAATACGAGAAGTCACACATCTCATGTCTGTTATATTTTTACCTATACGCATTGTGGTCACACAATTATTTATTTCTGTACAAACATCCACTCACAAGAGCATACCTAAAAAGTGAAAGAAACCTTTACTGATTTGCAAATGTAAGAATATTGTTAATTTGTTTTTTATATTGTCAATTAAGAACCAAAGATAGTGGCCAATTTGCAAAAATGTGTGCGTATCTTCGTAAAAATAATGCTATTTTGTCTCTCGCATCTCTTCATAAGTGACTCATATCCTTTGTAGATACACATTCAGGATCAGAATCTTTATTTAGACTGGAGAAATCCAGAACATGCGTTACATTTTCACGTGGAATTACTGTGTTATGCAGTGGCCAAACAACTTGAAAAGTCTGAGGCACCCACCCTTAACTCCACCACAAGCTATTGACCAACAGTGGAATGCATCGACTGTGGCATTAGTGAGGCTCAGCCGTCCGTCACAAATATGTAGTCTGTTAACGTATTTATGTATTTATGTTGAAATTATTTTGCACCATACTTAGCCAACCGTGGTAATCGGAGGCACGGGGGAAGGACAACAAACTAAACACAAAAAGCAGTTCCAAAGAAATGAGTTTGTCAATCTATATTATTTAAAAGTGCAAAGCTCCAGTGGCTTCCTAATATCGGAAGGAAGAGCGTTCCAGACGGCTGCAGAAGCGCGTGTGATTATTGACCCTTGCCCTCTATATCACTAGCCTCTGTTCTAATGTTGCTTAGGTATATGTAATATGCAGTGAGGGAAAAAAAATTTGATCCCCTGCTGATTTTGTACGTTTGCTCACTGACAAAGAAATGATCAGTCTATAATTTTAATGGTAGGTTTATTTGAACAGTGAGAGACAGAATAACAACAAAAAAATCCAGAAAAACGCATGTCAAAAATGTTATAAATTGATTTGCATTTTAACGAGGGAAATAAGTATTTGACCCCTCTGCAAAACATGACTTAGTACTTGGTGGCAAAACCCTTTTGGAAATCACAGAGGTCAGACGTTTCTTGTAGTTGGCCACCAGGTTTGCACACATCTCAGGAGGGATTTTGGCCCACTCCTCTTGGCAGATCTTCTCCAAGTCATTAAGGTTTCGAGGCTGACGTTTGGCAACTCGAACCTTCAGCTCCCTCCACAAATTTTCTATGGGATTAAGGTCTGGAGACTGGCTAGGCCACTCCAGGACCTTAATGTGCTTCTTCTTGAGCCACTCCTTTGTTGCCTTGGCCGTGTGTTTTGGGGCATTGTCATGCTGGAATACCTATCCACGACCCATTTTCAATGCCCTGGCTGAGGAAAGGAGGTTCTCACCCAAGATTTGACGGTACATGGCCCCGTCTATCATCCCTTTGATGCGGTGAAGTTGTCCTGTCCCCTTAGCAGAAAAACACCCCCAAAGCATAATATTTCCACCTCCATGTTTGACGGTGGGGATGGTGTTCTTGGGGTCATAGGCAGCATTCCTCCTCCTCCAAACACGGCGAGTTGAGTTGATGCCAAAGAGCTCCATTTTGGTCTCATCTGACCACAACACTTTCACCCAGTTGTCCTCTGAATTATTCAGATGTTCATTGGCAAACTTCAGACGGGTATGTATATGTGCTTTCTTGAGCAGGGGAACCTTGCGGGCGCTGCAGGATTTCAGTCCTTCACGGCGTAGTGTGTTACCAATTGTTTTCTTGGTGACTATGGTCCCAGCTACCTTGAGATCATTGACAAGATCCTCCCGTGTAGTTCTGGGCTGATTCCTCACCGTTCTCATGATCATTGCGACTTCACGAGGTGAGATCTTGCATGGAGCCCCAGGCCGAGGGAGATTGACAGTTATTTTGTGTTTCTTCCATTTGCCAATAATCGCACCAACTGTTGTCACCTTCTCACCAAGCTGCTTGGCAATGGTCTTGTAGCCCATTCCAGCCTTGTGTAGATCTACAATCTTGTCCATGACATCCTTGGAGAGCTCTTTGGTCTTGGCCATGGTGGAGAGTTTGGAATCTGATTGATTGATTGCTTCTGTGGACAGGTGTCTTGTATACAGGTAACAAGCTGAGATTAGGAGCACTCCCTTTAAAAGTGTGCTTCCTAATCTCAGCTCGTTACCTGTATAAAAGACACCTGGGAGCCAGAAATCTTTTTGATTGAGAGGGGGTCAAATACTTATTTCCCTCATTAAAATGCAAATCAATTTATAACACTTTTGACATGCGTTTTTCTGGATTTTCTTGTTGTTATTCTGTCTCTCACTGTTCAAACAAACCTACCATTAAAATTATAGACTGATCATTTCTTTGTCAGTGGGCAAACGTACAAAATCAGCAGGGGATCAAATACTTTTTTCCCTCACTGTACATCTCCTAAAAACAAATATATGTGTGCGTATATATTTATAACTATTTATTGAGTATACATTGAATGAGGCATGCGTAAGGAGTGCGTATGTATGTAATGTGCATGCATTAATCCATTAAGATTTGGTTACAATCACATTGCATATGTTCAAAGTGTGTATTGAAACGTTGATCTGCAGGCTTTTAATTTAGGCCACCTTAAAAGTATCGCACTCACATTGAAAACACTTTTTTGTAAACATATTTCCATATTGTGATTATAATACTGGTATATTCTTACATTATCATGCCATTTCCATGCACCGTTAGTGAAGGGATGTGTAGGTTATATAAAATCCTTGGGCAGTGGTTCCCAAGATTTCTCAGTGGCTGCACCAACTCGGGGTGCTTTATTTATAAAATAAAACTACTTTTTAACTCTGGTGCTAGTAATGTATGGCATATTGTGTTTGTGAAGTTGAATAACTATTACTATTATTATTCTTTATGCCTGGGAATTTGCCTCGACTCATCATAAATAACACAAATATTTCCTTCACTTTATTAATGTTTTCTAATTCAACCTCACTTTAATTGAACTGTCCATATAAATTTAGCTAACCCAAATTACCAATCGATACAGCTATAAAATGCTTAGCACTTGTCAATAAATAATTCGGACACGTATATTTTTTCCCCGGTCTATTTTTTGAGAAATATTTATTTCATTTGTAAGACTGCGGGAGGCCCAACTAAATTGTAATAAATGCATCCAAACAAAATGAAACCTGCTCACAAGGCCAATCGTTGGAAACCACTGCTCCAAGATACACGAGGGGTGGTTCAGTATGCCCAGGGACTAAATGTGAGTTAGCTTAAGACTGCACACACTCTCCGAGGGAAAATTCGAGTGCCTTTTCCCCCCCCCCAATGCAATTTGCTGCCTTACCATGACTCAAAACGCACGTGGATCAATTGGCAACTTCCACATTATAATCAATGCTTATCGTTGCTGCTGCTGCTGCTGCTGTGGGACATATTGCAATGGCACATCTAAGTGAATTGTCAAAAAACACAGAAAGCAACCCTTACTCTAGAGACTATTATCCAGTGCTGCATAGAAGCAGCATTATGGTTGTATGCCTCCGAGCACACATAGGGGGCTATAAAGGATTTAACCACTACATTTTGAAGTTGCTTCGCTGTGTAACTGCACTACATTTAGCGACGAGGGTTATACTATTGATGCAACTGTCTACTAATAGTTTCTAAAAATGTTCAGGACGCTTGAGAATAAACTACACTGACAATTAAATCCTGGTGTGTGGAATTATACTCTGTCGGAAAGTAACATTTTATCCACAGCACAGGTTAGCATACTCGCTCATTATTAAAACATGCAATGTGGCCCCCAATTATCAACCAATATGGGCTTTTTGTTTTTATTTCCAGTGCAAACGGCGATCCCTGACAGTGCGCAGCCTGCACATTGCGTGTAGGGGAAATGTTTGGCCGTTGCTTGATACCGCGTGGGGTGACGGAACGAAGGATCCTCCTGTGTACAAAATATCAGCAGTATCTGCGGCATATTAATTGAACCACTCGCTTTAAAGCTCAGGGGGCATCTCATCTTTCAGGCGCTGAACGTATCGAAAATCTGCTGAGCGCCCTGCAATACGGCGAGTTAAGCACTCGACTGGGGGGGCGGGCAAGTGCGGGGCTAAATGACACTCCCTATCGTTGACGCCATACAAAAGCACTTTGCATCGTCCTAGCGTTCCACTACAACTTCCAGCGGGTTGGCGAGTCCATTCGAAGCAGGCATTGAAACCCTGGGCAAGAGCGTCGGGTCTCTGGCAATACTGAACCACTCTCCACACGCTGCCTTCTATGCAGGTGCGACAGTGATACCTGGGCGGGGTGTTTGTTTGCCTACCATTGCACAGGCAGGTGTGTGTCCTGGGCTGCGGCTTGGCTTGGTGGCTGTCCATGATCTGCTGAACGAGCTGCTCCACTGAAAACTCACTCGCTCCATTGCCATTTCCACACGTCCATTTTATACCATGGACTGCAAGGCCATATACATACACAGACACAAAGTTGCATCTCCTGTTATTGAATGGTAATTCATATATATATCTCTCTCTCGCTCGTTTGCGCTGTCTCTTGTTCGTGAAAAAAATGACGCATCGGTTGATATGAGCAAAAGAACTGACGAATCGCGATTCGAAATCAAATCACGCTATTGGATGCCATTCGTGGAATATAGGGATTTTGTATGGTGTTTAATTTGGGAAGAAAATATCAACTGCACCCTCTTACGATCGAATCACCCTGGATGTGCTCAACCTTCGCCGGATCTCAAGAGAGCCAAATCCGGATCGAGCGTAGGCCGTGCTCGGATGGGCGACGGACTCCGTGGCCAACGGACAGACAGCTGTTGAGGGCGTCGTGGGCAGTAGAGGGCAGTGCAACAATGTCCATTGCTGTTCTGCCTCCACCCCCGCTCCCCACCACCACATTCACCAACGTGCACTGACCAGCAAAGGTGAAGTATGGTCGAACAAACCCTCACTGCCTGAACGACGTGGGGCGGCCTTCGTCCAGATGTGGATTTAAAAAAACAGGCTGCGCGCGTTTACTGCATAATTTGACAAATCGCTTTGATTGCGGTATTTATTTATTTATTTGAGAATATTCGTATCGTACGGTTACTCTTCAGGCATCCGGCCACAGCCGACATCTGGCCCGGAGAGGCAAGCGAACCTCTATTGTAGCCATTACAGTGGGGATGAATTCCGGTTGTTGTTGTTATGCGGTTTACAAATTCCTTTTTTAATAATGTAAAAGAGTGACCTCTTCTATTAGCCGCGCTATTTGCAGCGTATCCATTCGCACCAATTGTGAAAGAGCACGCGGAATGTTCCCTACACCAAACCACAGTGTGTTTTCATAGCAAAACTTTACTTATTTGGCGATGAAATGTCAGGAGGTGCGCATATTTCTTTTAAATGCACGAACGAGTTCAACAAAAAGGGTGTCACCGTCGGTGAAAGCATGTCCTCTGATAGATATACGGTATAATGAATAGTAATGTGCAAAACTACTGCACGCTGTGTTTAATTACCTCGGATGTTGCACTGGATAATTATTACTGACTTCTCTATTTCTAAAAAAACAAGTTTAATGAATCGTCCATGGCTAACATGAGCAGATTTCAATGTGTTGGCTTATGTTTTGAAATCAATGTAATTTGTTTATTTCAATACTATTTACATTTTAACCAAAATAATAATCAGATACTGCAACTGTGTCTATGAAAAATATTGTGCACGTGTGGTTTTGTGTGATTACCCTACAATTACCGTATTCTCCCGGTTTAACACGACGCACTATCTCCCCCCGTATGTTAAAGCAAAGAGTGCGTCTTATAGCCCGGTACACGTGTGCATGCGTGTGTGTGCGTGCGTGTGCGTGACCAGATGTGTGTAACTATATTGACACCGGGAGCTAGTCTGCGGTGCGTTTTACTTTCCGGAGCCGCTCATAATCTAGAGAACATGGTAAGTACTGGAGGTCAATCACTATGAAATCCGTGTTATAATTAATAAGCGTGATGCATTAAGAGTATCGACTTTGAAGGGTGTAATAATAATATGACATTGCTCTCGAGTTGCAGGAATGTTGGAAATGCATTGCCACCACCTCGTGGATATATAGCAGAATATCAACTTTGAAGACGAAAATACTACAGCTGAACATGTAATGTTGAACAAGGGAGAGGAAAATCCATACTGAATATAAGGGAATTAAGAGTAGTGTTTACGCACAGCCTGACTGCTTATCCTCATACAGAACCCCTAACCAAATAACTTTTCCAAATTTCATTATTAGGTCGATTAACATGTAATCCTAGCACTGACGCTCAGAGACAATTATGATTGTATTCTGGAAACACATGACACTGTAAAAGATAGAGCATTGCTGACAAGGATGCCATGTTCATTGTTGTTCATAGGGAAGCGCAGCGATGGCACTCTTAATGGAAAATGACCGTCCCTGGACACCGGTACACATTAGCCAAGACGATGACTGACCCATGAGATGGCAACCCAACTGCAACATACGACAGATGCGCCAATGCACTGTCGCTTTGTGAACGAACTTAAAGCGAATTGGCCCCTTTGGTGACTGTGTATGTCCAATGAAGTCTAAACGTGCTTCTAGGTGGCATTAGGAACACGTGGCAACATTTCACATCGAAGTAGACGAGCACCATGACGATGACAAACAGACAGGCACAGTTAAACAGACCTGCTCACACGGAGATGTTAAACAAAGAACACAACATTTGGTCACATTTGCAGTGTCGGAAAGAACGAAATCGTAAAACGAACAACTGCAACTCTTAGACCCAAAATAGACGGCCTATATTGCTGGGGAAATCGGCACGTAATTACCGAGGACATTATGAGATTTCAATTGTAATTAATGAGCAATTTGGCAACTGAACATTGACTACATTCTGTCACAATGGCTCGTGATGTGTGGCCATTTATATAGGAATGCACATAAGCACGGAGACAGCATCTACATGCTGTATATATATACACACACATGCATATGCACACACAATTGTAATTAAACGAATGCATAAAACAGAGGTGACCTAAGCAATGAATGGCAACATGGGCTCTCTCTCTCTCATCGGTGACGGCTGGCCGAAGCTGCTACCTGAGGCTTCTGTCAAGTCCAATTGTGGAAGACTGGGACACCCCTCCACCCCCGCCCCCCTGTCCTGTACGCACGCACGGGCACTGACACAATACTCACACATGGGCTTGAGCTGGCCCACCAACTCCTCGCGTGACCACTTCGCCCATTCCTTCCGGTCGGTGTTGATGGAGCACAGGATTGGTCCGCATGGTTTCCCACAGTCCTCGATGGCTGGAACATTCAGGTAGTGGACCAGCACTATGTCTGGATTCTGCGCCACAAAGGGGTGAAGAAAAGGAGCGGAATGGTTAATCTCGCAATGCCACGGAATTATCTGTCCATGTCTAGCATCACAGTCGCAGACGCGCATGGGCCATCAACACTGGGAATTGCAAATGTTTCCTGAAGGTACGAGGGATGTGACCCCTGGGGTATTTAGTTTGTTGTCCTTCCCCACAGCTCCAAATTAGCACAGTTGGCGCGGTATGGTGCGAAAGATGTTCAACATACATACAGTATAACACGTGGTAGGCTTTCGCGATCGATATTATCCATAAGAGGTTTTTGGGTTAGATCGCATGAATATAAATGTGTCATTAAACCCACCACCACCTGACACAGCCAATTAGTAAAGTTTGTCACGGAAACAAAGCATGCCAATTCGTTACTAGTTCAGCACACCGGTGTGATGGCATGTTTAATGACAAATTGATATGTACGCGATCTAACCAAAAACCTGTATTATGGATAGATACATACATACAGGAATAAGAATATCTCACAAGGTCAAACGAGATGAGAACTACATGAAACTGACAAAGACCAGAACTTTGAATGTTTTATGTTCTGGCAAGATGAACATATTTCCCAGGACAGCCATGATCCTGGGAAAACGAGGAAACTAAACTAAAACTATTTTTAATTTTACCAGGTACGGCCCACTGCGCTATATAGCTCTTTTTCAGAAGCGACCTTGCCACAAATGATGGCTCAATGAAGTGGCTCATCATGTGGAAATTCATTGCAACCAACTACTCGAAACGCATGTTTCTAAACGTGGAGGGAAAAACTGGAGGAGAAAAATCCACGCGACCACGGGGAGAACTCCAAATATACAGGCGTAAGGGTTGGGATCGAACCCACAACCTCCTGTATACGAGGCGAGGTACTTATAGAGCTATTACCAAAATAATAGAGGAATTGCCAAGATAAAAGCATGTCCTCACATTACTATTCAAATAGTGTTAGTTTACAGAAGAGTGCTATGTGTAGTGGGTATTTTTTTTAAGTGTTTGGCAGATAGACCTTTTCTTTAGATTCAGTGCATAATAGCAAATAAAGCCAGAGCGCTGTGTTGGTTAGAGACTATTTAAATAATATATACGGCAATAAACCTTTTATATTCTAAACCCAATTAAACTGCCTTCAGAGTGTGACACTCAATAAATATGCCATTACTGTTCAAGTCAAAGCAAGCATCAGTAATGGGGAACTGCTTTCAGGCACCAGCTACCAAGTATGCCATTCAACAACTTTATTGGAAAAAAAAAATGTCTTCTCAAGACATTAAAATGCAAATTCAGTTGTCTAATAAAGTCACATTTGATTACAAAAGCATTACTGTATAATTCGAGCTGCTCTAATAATTTAAAGCGGCCCTCCGGCGTGCCTTCGGGTTGTACCACGTTCACGCTCGGCACGGTGTCCGACGTTTCGCTCCGCGTGCCTGGAGCTGGGCCAGGAAAGCGAACAAACGATTCGTCGAAATTCAGCGAAACGCGTTTGCGGGCATCGTGCCCGGAGAGTCCGCGGCACAGCCCGAGAGAGCACACGCCGGAGAAGTGTGCCACAGCACAGCACCGGCCTTTAGTTTCCCCTCGCGTTCGGCATTCTCACCGAACTTCTACTTGTCTTTTCTTAAATTTTCCTCCACTTGGCCTTACAATATGTATTTTTGCCATGATGTACTGTGCCCTGATAATCTCGGAGAAACGGCGCTTTATGAACGCCATTTATTATCACGACTGCTAACAAGGGTCTTTGTGAAAATAAAAAAACGTCAGGATTTCTGCACAATTATTTATGCCTTTCACAATTTTTTTTTTAAAAAAACACGCGTTTGTTTCACGCAATTTTGTCAAGACTTACTGAATTGTGGATGTGCATACATACAGTACTACAATTATCGATAAACTCTCCAGGGCTGTTTACTTATAAATTGTCATGGGCGACGTGCGCTGCCACTCCGTCTCCTGCAGAGGGCAATATAACATTTCTGATGGAGCGCAATAGTGAAGAAGAAGCAGAAGATGAAACAAAATCACGTGGGAAAAATGATAAAGCCCTAAATATTTTGACACAGTCGGCGAAGCTGTAAAAGAGTGAAACTTCACACGCCACAAAAAAACCCCAACAACTTTTAAACGTATTAATTGTGATCCGCACCAACAAACCCCGTTAATCAACAATTATGATCACTCGTAATGAATCATTATCGAGGTGGCGGGAATTGGCTCCGAGGTTCAAGTTAAAGTTGTGCTCATTTTGAAGGGAAAAAAAAGACGTGGCCACTGATTGGATCCTGAATGAGAAAAGTGCTTTGCCTGTGGCCACCTATTTATAACGGGTTGACAACAGTGATTTCAGTCAGTCGACAGAGAGTAACTCATGCATCCTTCCTTGTTAATAATGCATTCGTGTTTGTATGAAAAGCACACAATGTAGTGCACACGTTTTGGCTGAATAGGTACCAGGGCCTTCTGATAGCCAATTGGGGCGCCCGAAGCCAAAATTGAGACATAACCACTATGCTAGAAGAGATCTCGACAACAGAGATGTACCGAGACAAGAGATAAAGACGCGGCGAAGAAATGGGCTGAAAATACAGTTACACATATAATTCAGTGAATTTCATCACAATAGTAAGTAAACATGCCTACGTATTGGATAAATTAATTTAAACAGTTAACATGGAATAATTTGCAAAGGGACATCCAGGAGGTATGCACATTCGTGATTTTCAAGGAACACCATAGGCGATTAAACATATGCGGTGCTATGCAGCTCAGTATTCATGCGGTGGAGTGTATACAGCTTTTGAGAAGGGCAAATCGAAAGGTATCCTAGCTCGTCATGAAGAACTATCTAAAACTAAACTATTTTTTATTTTGCCAGGTAAGGCCCAATGAGCTATATAGCTCTTTTCAGAAGCGACCTGGCCACAAATGGTATCAGACAAAGTGGCTTTTGTGGAAATTTATAGCAGCCATACACTCTAAATGCGTGTTTCTAAATGCGGAGGGAAAAACCGGAGGACCAGGAGAAAAATACAAACGACCATGGACAGAACATGCAAACTCCAGATATACAGGCATCATCAGTGTCGGGTACGAACCCACGCCCTCCTGCATACCAGGCCAGGTAGTTAACATCTCACGACCGCAGCGTGCCTATCATTCAACCATCCACCGTCGCCATCAGTAGCAATCCCCATAAAACGAAAAGCTGTCACCCACCTCCAAAATAATGCGAATGGCAATAATGAGATTTCACGTTGTATGCTACTCGTAGATGTGCGATCGCTCAGCAGCTGGCAAATGTAATGTTTTCCCTCCTTTATGACAATGGGCGATAGGCAGATTGACAGCTGGCTGCACGTTATCCGTACTTTTGCTCTGGCCTCCCAGAGACATAAACCACAATGATCACTTGGGTGGGTGTACCGTGTGCGCGTGCACACACACACACGCTGAATCAGTACACAGAGTTTCATGGGAACAATAAATATTCTTACTTTTACTTCAGAGAAAAGGATATACGGGTTTTTACCACTTTATACGCAATTTCGTTATGTATACATTTTCTAATTTTGGATTAATGGATCACCTATCCGAACAAAAAGCGTCTACTCTTGCAAATGATGTCACAGAATCTTCACTTTCCACATGACGTATGTTACATTTTTCTTGGGAAAGACCACATTATAACTTAGCCCTTTCCTGGCAGACTTATCCGTACTTTTGCTCTGGCCTCCCAGAGACATAAACCACAATGATCACTTGGGTGGGTGTACCGTGTGCGCGTGCACACACACACACGCCGAATCAGTACACAGAGTTTCATGGGAACAATAAATATTCTTACTTTTACTTCAGAGAAAAGGATATACGGGTTTTTACCACTTTATACGCAATTTCGTTATGTATACATTTTCTAATTTTGGATTAATGGATCACCTATCCGAACAAAAAGCGTCTACTCTTGCAAATGATGTCACAGAATCTTCACTTTCCACATGACGTATGTTACATTTTTCTTGGGAAAGACCACATTATAACTTAGCCCTTTCCTGGCAGACTTATCCGTACTTTTGCTCTGGCCTCCCAGAGACATAAACCACAATGATCACTTGGGTGGGTGTACCGTGTGCGCGTGCACACACACACGCCGAATCAGTACACAGAGTTTCATGGGAACAATAAATATTCTTACTTTTACTTCAGAGAAAAGGATATACGGGTTTTTACCACTTTATACGCAATTTCGTTATGTATACATTTTCTAATTTTGGATTAATGGATCACCTATCCGAACAAAAAGCGTCTACTCTTGCAAATGATGTCACAGAATCTTCACTTTCCACATGACGTATGTTACATTTTTCTTGGGAAAGACCACATTATAACTTAGCCCTTTCCTGGCAGACTAATGGCCACTTGGCCAGCCAGTGCCGTGAGGTGAGACGTTATCTTCCTTGCCTGGTAGGCAGGGCTATGGGTTCGATCCCAACCCTGACAATGCCTGTATATTTGGAGTTTGCATGGACAAGCATTTAGATTATTTGGCTGCTACTATAAATTCCCACATGTAATGATATAAACCACTTCGTGAACTATCATCTTGTGTGGTCAGGATGCCTAAAAAAAAATAGACCAGTCGGCTTTACCTGTTAAATAAAAGTTTATTTGTGCAACACAGGGAGAGCTGCCACTGGGGGTGCCCATGGCAGCAGGGAAAAATGGGTGGCTGAGAAGTGATCCAAGTCGCTTTGAGTTGGTGAGTTGCTGAGGCATTTATGTGCCCAATAAATGCAAATGCTTATCTTTAACAAACCATGCTTTAGTAAGGATCCTGTGGTAGTGATTTCTTTTCATGCATTTGTGAAACCGAAAGCAACGACTCAATGCAAACTGCCCCAATGACAAACCGCAGCCTACTGAGTTTCCCATATGGATATGGTCGTATTTCGTAATACAAGAGAGTCAATATGTA